TAAATTGTTCGAAATCTATCTTGGTGAGCTTGATAGCTTAAAGATTATAAATGTGCACTTCTATAAAACTTTGGGAACCTAATATTTATATTATTTTCTATAGAGAATGTAGTAAAATATTTCTTTTAGTATTGTTGCGTCCCGGAGGACGTGTGTGTTGGACGGCCCTAGTAAAGATCAGCCATTTTAATAACTAACACACTTTTATTTACTCTTTTACTTAACTTTAAATACATTAAGACCTCACAGGACTCTTAAATTCCAAATCTTTCAATTTTTTGAAAAAAATATATGTTACAGCCTCATTATTTCTGAGTATTTTGGTACCAAAATTGTGTTGATACTCTGTGAAAACTTCTGAAGTTATGGAAAACTACGTAGTGAAATTTAAATGAAAACCCTATCTCTTTCTTATCTTTAACTTCATTTTCCGCGAAATAAAAAATTTTAGCTTCCACGCAGGATTTCTCAGAAACTATTTATGATATCAATTTGAAATTTAATACACGTGTTCAAAACAAGGCTCTTCATAATTTATACATCAATTTTCAAAAAAAAATTAATAGAATTTTTTTATTTGAATTTTAATTCATTTTTTTTTAAAAATTTAAAATTTTCGTTATAATTGTATTTAAAAAATTTTTTTTCCCTCTAAATTTCTTAGAAGTATGTATAACTTCACATGTGAACATTTTTATACCAAGTAAAATTAATTTTTAAATTTTTATCCAATTTGTACTTCAGAATCTTGCGCGGTGTAAAATACTAATTTTCATATTTTTAAAAAAATGTCCAATTTTTATTTCTTAAAAACTTTTTAATTTTTTTCTCAAATTCTCTGAAAATTTGAGAATTATTGTAAATATATATGATTATCATGTGGTACAAATTCCAAATTATTGTTTTGTTTTGTTGCTAAGTTATATTGGTTTGAAGAAGGATGTTATTTTCGAGTGCACGGATAGCTGTTAAGGTTCCTGTGAACCCTTAAGAGGAGAATGTACTTGGATTAAACTCGAGGAGCAATCTTGCTTAATCGATTGAACTATAATAGAAAAAAGAACACTTATCTTATTTCTAGAGCACTTTTCTCTTGAATAATCTTTAGATTATCATCCGACTTGACTTGATTCTGCGACCTCCAGTCGTTAAGACTTCGTTTGCTTCTGTATTAACTTTGAAACTTCCTCGCGCTTAAACTACGACTAACACTTAAATAGAAGTTCTAATTTACATAAATCCAGTCTTCTTTACAAAAAGCGATTTTCAATAGAAATTACAGTTTAAAAAATTATTTTACCCTAGAGGATTAGTGGGAACTCGGATAGACCCGTTACATTACGAATATTTTTTGTGAGTTATGGCCTGTTATTTAAATAATTTTTTCATAAAGAATGTCACATTTCTTATAATGCTCACTCAATCTGCTCAAACATTAAACATTAAATTTAAATTAAATTAAATTAAACATGAAAATTTTAGTGCATTCTCAAGATAAATGCATCTACTTTTTTGCTGATATATGTTTATTACTTTTTCTCTAATTGCTTTGAATTTGTTCAAAAATATTGATATAATGTCACTTATAATTGTGATTTTTGTAAAATTTAGGTAATTTTTTTTAAATATTGTTATAGTTAAATAATAGTATTAATTGGTATTGGTTCCTAAAAAAATCATTTATAAGGTTTAAATATGCTATTTAAAAAAAAAAAGTTCTTTGAACGTGTTCGGATTTTTAAAATGTATATGTGTGTACACAACAATAACAAACATAAGTAAATCAAATGTTCTTGTTTTAAAAGTGCACGTATAATACAAGATTTTTCTTTTTTAAATTCCGAAAAAAACTTTTTGAAGAATCTAAGTAGTACTTGAACATTTCTACCAAAATTAATAAATTTTAAATTTTATTGAAGTCTTAGACCAACAGCAAGTACAAATCTAATGGCAAGTCTAAACTCAATAGAGAACACATGACTACATTTATCATATGACCATCATATATTTAGCACATTGACAAACGAGTCAGACCTTCTTCAACTGTTGATACTAAGTTATCCATGTTTACAAAATTTTTCCTGTAGCCATTTTCATTAAGGTATCCGACTACGTTCGGAACCGAGATTTTGCAAAGGCGCATAAATGAATAATTTTCTTGATATTTAGGTCCCGCTGGATTATAATATATGTATAAAATTGTTTTAAGGACATTTTGACAAAAAAAATTATTTAAATACAATATTTTGGTAAAAAATTCACTTAGAAAAATATTTCTTCAAAATGTTCTCCTTTTGTGAAAAACGCTTCCATTATAATAATATTTTGCCTGGATATAGCTCACACCTCTCTACAGAGGATCAACAAGAATTTTGGAAAAATTCACTTAGTTTCAGAGTTAATGCCAATTGAAATATAATTATTGGCGCTCTTTTCTTAAAATTGCTCCCCTCTGTTGTCGTAAAATACGGATAAACCCACTTCTAAGTTATGCATTTCAAAAATTCTAGTTGAGCCTCTGTACAGACGTCTGAGCTATATACAGGTAAAATATTGTTATAATAGAAGAATTTTTAACAAAACGAGAACATTTTGAACAAAGATTATTCTAAGTTAGTTTTTTGCCAAAATATTGTATTTAAATAACTTTTTTTTGTCAAAATATCCTTAAAGCAATTTTATACATGTATTCCAATCTAAGTGACACCAAATATCATGAAAATTATCCATTTATGCGCCTTTTTAAAATCACGGTTCCGAACGTACTCTGCTTCCTTAAAATTGTGAGGATCGAAATGAAAGAGATGGGGTTATGACATATTGATTCTGCGTGTCGTTGTTTATGAATCTCGTAATCTTGATGGAAATCCACATATTCAATTATAAAAAAGACATCTTATAGGACTCATATTACAAGGCCTACACAATCTCTCTTTATAAATGAATGTTTGTATGTGTAACCTCGCTTAACTCCCACACCGTTCAACCGATCACCATAAAAATCGGCTTGCTTATGTATTTTGTTGTGGAGAAGGTTTTTGAGTTATCCTCTTTGTTGTATATCCAAACCAGATGGCGCTAGAGCCTATAAACTTCTGCACCATTCAATTAATTGCCAAGTTGCCAACATGGTCGCTAGAAATGATGTTAACTTGGCTCTATCTTCATTATAATGTAAGAAACGGCGTTGCTTGCGAATATTACAATTTTAACATAAAATAAATGCAACAGAAAGTAAATGTAACGTATTACATATCCAGATATAAATTATTCGCACTATTTTAAGCGTTCATTATACAAAATTTGTAACATTATGTTACATTTGTTGAGCAGAGATCAGCTTCGGAAAGTGTTTTCAAAAATCGACCCTCAAGGAGTTACAGTAGCGTTATAAATAAAAAAAATCCTTTTTATCAGCTGTTATACCTATAGACTTAAAATTTAGCAAATATGATTTTTTGTTCAGCAGAGATATGTAAACTTTTGTGTGTGTGTGTGTTTAATTTGCAATTCATTTAAAATTAATTCATAAAACTCTTCTTTATCCTTCAATCTGTATTGTTTAATTTTTTTAATTCATTCATTTTTTAATTCACCAGCTAGTATATATATATAAATCATATATCCATATATGATCCATCCATATGATGATATAGATCATATGATGAAATGATCCATATGATCCACATCCATATAAATCAAGAATTTAACAATAACAAACATATTTCCTGCTGTAAAAGGATTTAAAAATATAAAAGCCCGAACTTAACTCCATTATATCAAATATCATTTAAACAAAAAAGACACCGTGTTATTAATATTATTACGTAAATGAATAAACGTTTACTTTATAATGGCTTCATTAATTTGATGCGCAACGAATATTTTGCTAAAATTGTGATTCAGAAAATAATTTCTCACATTATAAGAGAAATAAATTTTATTTTCTTTATCTTATAAACATTGAATATCATATCCATGTGGAAACATCTCGTTGTAATTTAATTTTCCCTCTCGAAACTATCGAATGAATTCCGTGTAAAGTGAACCGGAATATGTTCTACATGATAAAGCGAGGTACATGTTTGTGCCAACAAATAATCGTTTTCCATGCGCAGGGTTAATGATGAAGAGTTCTAAACCTCAAGTGTATCCTAGAATCTTAAGATATTCTGTGCTTTCCCGTCATTTAATACACACGGAAATTGTGAGTCGTAGCAAGAATGAATGAAGCTTAATCATAGCTGGGCATAAAAGGAAAGAGAAACTTCTGCGGGATCAGCGCAATTTGCTCGGTTCCCTTTAAATGGAAAAAATAAAGATAAAAACGCTAGATGGAAATAATGGTTTCGGTTGGTGATTGGACCGAAAGAATACCAGTATTTTCCGTGGGGAAATTGAAGCGGTGAAGATTGTTACATGGGAGATATCGTGATAAAGATTTTACAGCCAATTGAGAAGAATTGTTGTAAAAAAAACTGATTAAATACAAACGTTAGTGTTCATTTAACAATAAAATAAATTGTACAATAGGAAGAAAGTTCTTCATTACTTTTGAATACAAAGAATGATAATATATTTCAAGTACATTTTTTTTGCACTTCCTATTTCTTTTAATTATTTTTAAGAAACAGAAACAAATAACATAAAATATTCTATTCCTTCTTTGGTCTACAAGAATAATTTTATTTTAGTTACTTTTTATTAAATAGTTACAATTAA